CATTGATTGATATTCAGATATTCTACCTAAATACACCTAATCAGTGTGGGCTTTCTCACAATTTAAGTTATTAGAGTAAAATTATATAAGAATCTAGAATATTATCCATTGGAGATCCTATGTAATGTAACTAAATAYTATGCTTATTTCATTGGTCGTACGTAAACTTTTCAATAAAATAACATTTTTAGTGTTAATTAAGTCATGAAGGAACTAAAAATATATATGATGAATTATAATTATAGTATGAATAATGAATAATGTGACAGTGCTTAATGATTAGTTGTATTGCAATAATGGGATTTTTAAATGTTCTGTTTGTAATTAATTCATTATTCTGGACTGACAAAATAATAATTATTATTCTTCTTCTGTCAATTTAGTGTCTAATAATGGATTTGTATTTCAAAATTTACCTTATTGTTCTCTTAAAAGTTAATTAACTAAAGCACATTACTTATATTTTGAAATATGTTTGTCATTTTTGATAATTTATTCTACTTCAAGGTGTAAAAATTACACATGATGGATATTTTTTGTATYCAAAGTTAAGTTTATCAAAATGTGTTACAGTGTAACCTCAATAAGTCGAAAATCTTAATAAGGCAAAAAAAAAATTAATTTCTCTTGAACTTCAAGGTTCCATGTACGTCTTGATTTTCTTATCAAAATTAATAAACAATTAGTTGTCTTAAGTTATAATAGCCAATAGAAAATAGATTAGTAGATTATCAAAGAAAAAATGAATASTATATTTTTTAGAAAATAATCACAGATTTTACATTATAAAATATATACTTATATAAATAACTAACAAGAACCAGAATTGACTGTACCTCTAACTTACTAGTAATTTTATTTAAAATATTTTCATTAAATTGATATTATTGAATTAAAATTAAAGATTTTCTAAATAATTATATAGGATTTATAATAATATGTTGGGTCATATTTTAAATTATGTATTAAGTTTGTTTTGTGGACTTTTTGGAATTTATTGTTGCTACACTTGTGTAGTCATGATGTTCCAAAAGCTTTTTGTGGTAATTGTATTTAGAAAATACCTTAAGCTAGTGCTAGATATTGTTTTTTATCTTAKTTTTCTTTAAAAAAGTTATAGATTTACGATAAATCATAAAGAAATATAAAATACCTAAATAGATCTTAGTTATAGTAGTATTGGAATTAGTGTAAACAATATATTTCTTTTGATTAAATGAAATTACCCTCTTGTTAAAGACAGCCTAACCATACTTATGTAGTATATTAAAACTGTTATGATAACCATAAATTATTATTTGATAATATTTTTGCGTATTAAAAATAAAGACAAATATGAAAGCTCTCTTGCAACTCAAAACAATCACTGATATTGAGTATGAATTAATATTTTCCAGAAATTTGATTATTAATTTGTTGTTATTATTTATTGGTTTATTGCTGATTACTTACCTAATTTGTAATTTTACCTTTTTATGTTATAATTTTTTTAGTCTTGAAAACCATTCACTATCTGAAAAACTTGGKTTGTTATTATCTGACAAAGATCATCTATATAAATTTTATAAGGCAGAAGCTTTTTTATGTCAAAAAGAGTATAGTGATGCTGCATTATTATGTCTAAGAGCTGTTGAACTGAATCAACCGTCTTTATTACTGGAAATCAATCCCAAATTAGTAAGCCATTTTTAATTAACTATTTTATTATTGTTGATACTATATTAYTTTAAAATGTTTTTTTAGTACTTGAATTATTCATCTAAAAGTGAACATTGTTCTACCTTGCCAAAATTGTTACATAAACAAACACATATTAAATATTTCAAACAATTGGGTTCATTGACGAATCTCTTGAATTATAAATCATCTGAAAACMTCAATGAGCATAAAATGATTACTGGATATCATAATGATCTACCTAAATGTAAAATTAAACATTTGTGTAAAAGACAATGCTATAAAAGTTGGCCAGATATTTATCGTACGACATTTCATCAATCAAAACTCAGACGGTCATTAAGTTTTGATGTGATGCAAACATCTGACAACTTATTAGATTGTACCCTCCAAGGTGCAACAATAGAAAATACGGCACAGATTTTGTTACCAAAGTTATTGGATGTAAATTATGAACAGCTTCTATGCGATAACGATGATTCAAATAAACATCAGTTATCAAATAATGATTTGCCCAAACRAAATAAACGACGATCAAAGTTGTTTACACTCCCATTGAAAATATTAGAAGAATCTGACGATGACACTCGAAGCAATATCTCTGACGGGTCTAGAACTTTGATTCCTTATGATGAATTTCCACCTTCAAAGTATGTAGGAACATTCGGATTAGTATCTTCATATTTTCCCGATCAAGATTTGTTCAAGTTCTTATCTTCTGGACAGTTTCTTCAAGCCAACGCTGAGCTAGATCGTGAAAATGCTCATTTCAAAATTTCTGAAGCAATCATTGGCACTATTGAACAAGTTAGTATTTATTTGTAACTATTGTTTTATGGCGATAACTATTAACTACCATGTGGTTCAGTCAATGTAATAAATAATAATTTAATACATTTTGACAAAGGACAAATCTCAAAACAAAAAAAGCTACTAACTGCTTGATTTATTTCGGATTAAATAAATTTGTTGTTATTATCTTCACGCTATAGTCAACTATGGCGCTATACACTTAGAAACTTATTTTGCATTTATTGTTGACCCTAATTACAAATATTTAGGTTTCTATCAGATT